GGGAATGAGGGGCGGGAAAACCGGGAGAAAACCGGGAATGAGGGGCGGGAAAACCGGGAATGAGGGGCGGGAGAACCGGGAGGGACGGACGGACGGACCGGGGGACACCGGAGCGGGGACCGGAACCCCGGGAAGGGAGAACGGGAAGGAGAAAAATCCGGGAAAAGGGAGGAAGAGCAGGAGGGGGAGAGGGGCTCCATGGCCATCCCCAGGGAGCCCCAAAACCCCCCGGGGCACCCCAAAAACTCCAATGGAACCCCAAAAACTCCCCCGGAACCCCAAAAACTCAAATGGAACCCCAAAAACTCAAATGGAACCCCAAAAACTCCCCTGGAATCCCAAATCCCCTCTGAGTCACCCCAAAACCTCCAGAGTGACCCCAAAAACTCCTCTGGAACCCCAAATCCCCCCAGGGCACCCCAAAACCCCTCAGGAACCCCAAAAACCCCTCTGGAACCCCAAATCCCCCCGAGTCACCCCAAAACCCCCAGAGTGACCCCAAAAACTCCCCCAGAACCCCAAATCCCCCCCGGGGCACCCCAAAAACTCCCCTGGAACCCCAAAAACTCCAATGGAACCCCAAATCCTTCCGGGGCACACCAAAAACTCCTCTGGAACCCCAAAAACTCCAATGGAACCCCAAAAACTCCCCCGGAACCCCAAATCCCCCCAGGGGCACCCCAAAAACTCCTCTGGAACCCCAGATTCCCCCCGGGCACCCCAAAAATTCCTCTGGAACCCCAAAAACTCCAATGGAACCCCAAATCCCCCCGAGTGACCCCCAAAAACTCCCCCGGAACCCCAAATCCCCCCCGGGTCACTCAGAACCCCCCGGGTGACCCCAAAACTCCCCCCCAGCCCCCCCGGAGGCGACGCGGCTCCTGTTGGATTAATTTATTAATTAATTATCGACTGCTGGGAACCCAGGGCAGCGACGGGATCGGGATCGGGATCGGGATCGGGATCGGGATCGGGATCGGCTGGGACGGTCCCGGGGACGGCCCAAGGCGGAGCTCAGCTGCCCGGGATGGAGCTGGGTGGGCCAGGGTGGATTTTGGGTGGGCCAGGGTGGATTTTGGATGGTCCAGGATGGATTTTGGATCACCCAGGATGGATTTTGGATGATCCAGGAGAATTTAGGATCACCCAGGATGGATTTTGGATCACCCAGGATGGATTTTGGATGATCCAGGATGGAGTTGGGATGATCCAGGATGGATTTTGGGTGGTCCAGGAGGATTTTGGATCACCCAGGATGGATTTTGGATGATCCAGGAGAATTTAGGATCACCCAGGATGGATTTAGGATGATCCAGGATGGATTTTGGGTGGTCCAGGAGGATTTAGGATCACCCAGGATGGATTTTGGATGATCCAGGATGGATTTTGGATGGTCCAGGATGGATTTTGGATGGGCCAGGATGGATTTTGGGTGGTCCAGGATGGATTTTGGATCACCCAGGATGGATTTTGGGTGGTCCAGGATGGATTTTGGATCACCCAGGATGGATTTTGGATGATCCAGAAGGATTTAGGATGAACCAGGAGGATTTAGGATCACCCAGGATGGATTTTAGATGATCCAGGATGGATTTTGGGTGATCCAGGATGGATTTTGGATCACCCAGGATGAATTTTGGATCACCCAGGATGGATTTTGGATGAACCAGGATGAATTTTGGATGATTCAGGAGGATTTTGGATCACCCAGGAGGATTTTGGATCACCCAGGATGGATTTTGGATCACCCAGGAGGATTTTGGATCACCCAGGATGGATTTAGGATGATCCAGGATGGATTTAGGATCACCCAGGATGGATTTTGGATGATCCAGGATGGATTTTGGATGATCCAGGATGGATTTTGGATCACCCAGGATGGATTTAGGATGATCCAGGATGGATTTTGGATCACCCAGGATGGATTTTGGGTGATCCAGGATGGATTTTGGATCACCCAGGAGGATTTTGGATCACCCAGGATGGATTTTGGATGATCCAGGAGGATTTTGGATCACCCAGGATGAATTTTGGATGGTCCAGGGTGGATTTTGGGTGATCCAGGATGGATTTTGGATCACCCAGGATGGATTTTGGATCACCCAGGAGGATTTTGGATCACCCAGGATGGATTTAGGATGATCCAGGATGGATTTAGGGTGAACCAGGAGGATTTAGGATCACCCAGGATGGATTTTAGATGATCCAGGGTGGATTTTGGGTGATCCAGGATGGATTTTGGGTGGTCCAGGATGGATTTTGGATCACCTAGGATGAATTTTGGATCACCTAGGATGAATTTTGGATCACCTAGGATGGATTTTAGATCACCCAGGATGGATTTTGGATGATCCAGGATGGATTTTGGGTGGTCCAGGATGGATTTTGGATCACCCAGGATGGATTTTGGATGATCCAGGATGGTCTGGATCGCTCGGGACCACCCGAATTTGGGACCATCTGGATCTGGGAGCACCCAAAGGACCCGGCCGGGCCCACCCGGGACACCTGGGGACCCCCGGGACGATCCCGGTATAAATAGGGGCGAGGTCGGGGGGGGCGTGGCTTTTTTGGGATTCTCAGGATTTTTGGGAATTCCGGCGTCGCTGCCGTCGGAGCTACGGGGCAGAACGGGGATTTTGGGGGGTCGGGGGGCGGTTTTGGGGGTCGGGGGCTCGGGAGCCGTGGAATGTCGGGGTCAGTCGTCCTCGGTGCCGCTGCCGGAGCGATCCTGGAAAAAGGGGGTCGGGATTTGGGGTCAGGTGGGATTTGGGGGGTCCAGGGTGGGATTTGGGGGGTCCAGGGTGGGATTTGGGGTCCAGGGTGGGATTTGGGGG